GTCATCATCCCAGGTCCTCTCGCCCTCATCAAACTGCCAAGTCATCTGGACCAGGCCAAACTGCCAGGTCATGAGACTCAACAGATATGGCTCCCTGGTTTCGAGGAGGCTGCATTGAGGATCATTAGGGCAGGTTGAAATAGGGGAGGACAAAGCCCAGGAATCGAAGGAGGGCTCCAGAGTGATTAAAGTGAGAAGGAGGGTCACTGAGTAATAGAAAGAAGGCTGAGAAAAACTGGGGGAAGTCAGTGTGAACCTTCGAAGAACATGAACTCAGAGATTTTGGGAGTGTGAAAGAAAATGCGAAGGAGTTTGGGTTTTATACTGGCACTGGAGTTCAAAACACAGAAGTGTGATTCTCGAAAGATGAAACGGCCTGACAGCGCATTCAGAACACGCGAAGATATGACAGAAACTTGGCGGCCGACGTTTCGATTAGCAAGGAAGAATGATGGCTCGTGCGAGTTAAGAGCGCGATGACGTGGCAAAAGCCCAGAGGCCGTCGTTTCCTCTGACAAAACAAAGCGACGCCTCGAGCGAGCCTGGGCAATAATCACCTGCACGACGTGCTTGAGGCATTAAATGCGCCGACTGGCCTGCACATTTAATGCCCTAGTTGTCAATCACTTCAGAAGGAATGCAAAGGGTCCATCCCTTGGAATCCATTCGGCCCCTACCCATGCCGAGGCCGAAGAATCCAGGGATGTGGGGGCAGTGTTTGTGCCTAATAAATCACGGTCATGAGCTGGCCGAAGGAGCCCCCTTTCTCGGCCCTGGCACTTGCTCATAAAACTGAAACGCAGCGTTTCAACAAAATGCTTTGCCTTCCTGAAGACAAAAGAAAAATGCCAAGGCATGATCATCTCGGCCTCGAGTGCAGGCCGAGGCCGAGGCCAAGATCGCGGCCAGAAATATTAAAGTCAGATCATCACGTGATAGCAGGGACCCATTCTTCATTTAATGAAGTAGTGCCTGTTTAATGCAGCAAACCCACTGGCCACAAATAAGCATTTAATGCATGAGGGAAGGTGGGAAGTGACTGAAGTCAGGTT